CAAACTGCAGTTGACAGCTGCAGATAGTGGCGAGACAGCCGCGAACAACGGCGAACGACACCGGACAGATGCAAACAGCAGTGACAGTGCTGGTGGACAACCCAGGACAGAAACCAGAGCAGGATGAACCTTCTCTGATACCAACTTGAGATCTAAAACTGAGAAAAATAGTTCTGAAGGGCTTAGAAGACCCTTCTCAGTTCTCTTATTTATATAGATAAAATCTGATACAATAGATAGGTGGAAGATGAAGAGATTGTCCTAGACTGCTAGGAACAATCATTATAGATAACCCAACACACAACTACCTACTTTAACCCAACACACAACTACCTACTTTAGGCCCTTTAGGCCTTGCTATACTAATCATAGGTAGACTTAATAATTATTCTAACACTATCTCTAGTTAATACAGGCTTTGGGGTTTTCCCAATATCTTAGATTTAATTAAGCTGTGCTTGTGTGATTTTGTATTTCAGAAATCAAGTACTAAATGTTTATTGAGTCTTAATTCTAACCCTGAAGTCTCGGGACAAAAAACTTTAGTTCAAAAGTGCTTCCTAATTTTGTCACCTTTGAAATCTTAGTTCTGATTACAATTTTTTTATGCTTGTGAGGAGTCAAAGGTAGTATATGTTTGTTGTACATAAGCATGTGATTTTCATCAATTTCTGAATCGCAATGCTTGGAAATGTCTTACTGTTGGATATTGCCTTCAGGTCAGCGGAATTCGATCACACACTTTATCCATGCTTGTGAATGATTCTCCTGGGGTTCTAAACATTGTTACAGGAGTTTTTGCTAGAAGGGGCTATAACATTCAGGTTCTTTTCTTTAATATTTCTGTATCACGAACACACAAGTCAAATGCTTCTGGTTTCTCGATTTTCTCATCTACTTTGTTATCTTCAGAGTTTAGCGGTAGGACATGCAGAAGTTGAAGGACTTTCAAGACTTACAACTGTGGTTCCCGGGACAGATGAGACAATCAGCAAGCTGGTGCAGCAACTCTATAAGCTAGTAGAGCTGCATGAGGTTCAAAATCTCTATGAAAAACAAATGCATCATATCAATAAAGAAATTATTTTCTTTGAGTGATATTTTTTAGTTGTTACTGTTTGCAGTGTCTTGTGGCACTTTGAGTGCTTGATTAAGTTTATTTTTTATTTATTCACATACTTTTGCCATTTTTTTGAGGTTTGAAAATAACGTTTCCCAAACATCTAAGTGCTTGTTTAAGTTTTTTTATTTTTTCTTCCTTGTAATTTGTGGTGAAACTTTGGAAGAGAAGGAGGAACTTACTAATCCTTGGTAGGCCTGAAACTGTACGTCCATGGTATAATCCTGTTATATTGTAAAACCAGTAGTTACTACAGAGTGAACAAAAATTGCAACTGCTGTAAGGATATCGGTTTATTGGGATAAGGAATTTATTGAAGTTGTTAGGATATTTCTTTAAACTACAGATGTCATCATCGAGTAGGTAATCTTTCAAACCATTAATCATAGAGACTTTCGCCCTTGTTTTTTCCCATGGAGATAAGCCTGTAGTTAACTGTAGTTTAAACCACATAAAATTTCTCTTTTTTTGGTGCACCTGGCTACCAGAAGACATTTGTGTTGGAAACCTTTGTTGGGAGTTAAATATAGGTTGAATTTAGTGAATCTTGTGTTTCTTAATATGAAGTGAATAATAAAGAGTATCCGGGAACACAAGTAACCTGCATTAGTCTTTTTTAAAAACCTTTCTAATTTCTCGGTGCCTGACCTTCCTTCTTACTCTGGAATTTGAATTTGAAAAAATTTCTACTCTTCCTTGATGCATACATTCTTATCAGTCAATCTTTTGTTTCTTCCTTATCTGTTGAGAACTAGATTGGTAGAATGGATAAATATTTGAGCATTTTATTATTTTCTTTATTGAGTTAGACTGATATTTACTTCAGGTACGTGATATCACCCACTTGCCATTTGCTGAACGAGAATTAATGCTAATAAAGATTGCTGTAAATGCTGCTGCACGGCGTGATGTCCTCGATATCGCCAGCATATTCCGGGCCAGAGCTGTTGATGTATCTGATCACACAATAACTTTGGAGGTGAGTTTTGTGTGCACTTTTCAATCAAGTGATATAGGATCTTATTTACCATCAACTTATATTGATACTGACAAACTTGGTGAATGCTAGATGCCACTTCTGTGCAAAGAATGTTGAATTTGGGGACTATACTGTACCTACAATTCGCACTAAAACCTATTTACTTTAGCTGAATGTTACTGTTCTACGAGGTCATAGGATCGTGCATTCTTTCCAGTTTAATATCTGTTGGATCTAACATCCAGATTTGTTCCAACAGCAAATAGAGTCACGACCAATTAGGCAGGGTACCAGAGATTCAACTGGTCCTCAGTTTGTCGTATAGCTTTTTCTAGCTCATGAAAATAGATGACATTAAGCTATTGATCTAGCATCCAAATGTACAAGAATCCTTTTATCCCTGCTGTCTGCAGCTTTCCACATCCGTATTCTTTCTTTCTTGAGATTATTAACTATCAGAAATAGAATTGTTTCCATCTTAAAAGTTATAATTGTAAGGAAAAAATAGCATTGTACACTAACCTTTTTAACTTTATTTTTCTTTGGGATTAAATTTAGTGACAAAAGTGTCTGTGGTGTTTTTCCTCAAAAAACAAAAAGGTGTAATAAGTAGAAGTTATGAACCGATGATAACATATTGGTGTAAACTTTTGTTCCCTGTGCTTCAATGTTATTATTTGTCGTTTCAACTAATCTTAAAGTTTTTCAAAGAGCAGGTTAGTTCTTTTTGCTCAAGGCAACACTGATGACAGAAAATTTATTTGTTTGTTTCAAAGTATTTTGCTACATTCAAAATGTCTGCCACACAACATGAATTCTTTGGTTATTTTCAATTTTTTAAAAAATCTAATTGAAATGATCTTGAACTAGCTCACTGGAGATTTGGACAAGATGGTTGCATTGCAGAGATTGTTAGAACCATATGGAATTTGCGAGGTATGTTTTGCACTTTTTTTTCTTACATGCTGAATATTTTTACTGTGACATTTGACTTGTTTAAACACCTCGTTCCATTAATTTCAGTCATATTTGGTGCTAAGTGTTTTCTCAATTTCTGGAAAGTCAATGTCCATGGATACTTGACTGAGGACATGGTGGCTAGAGTGGATTTTCTCAATGCACATAGGGCAAAAGAATGGGTTATACCCGAGAGAGTTACTACTCCTTGCACGGATTTGCAAACAAGGCAATCCATGCATCTAAATTTGAAAACAGAGTGTCCAAGTTTTATGATGAAGAGTACAAGTATTTGAGACTTAAATCTGAAAAAAATTCACCATCTAGGTCAATATTCTTCGGTGCAAAGTATTTTAACAACTTTTATTTCTTGATCTATGGAAGGTTAATGTCTGTAGATACTTGGCTCAAGGTCTTTTATCATATTTTCGTTGGTAACTTATTTCTCGTTTATCATTCTCCAAAAGTTCCCTTCCTAGTTAATGGTAGCTAGAGTGAACGTTTCCAATGCACGTACCCCAAAAGAATGGGTCATACCCAAGAGAGTTATTACTCCTTGCATGGTTTTCCAAACAAGGCAACCCATGTGTCGAAATCTAAAAAAGGAGAGTCCAATTTTTCTCATGAGGAGTAGTGGGAGTATTTGAGGCTTAAATATGAAGATTTTCACCATGAAGGTCAATCTTGTTCTATGCGAAGTGTTTTAATAGCTTGTACTTCTTAATCTATGGAAGATCAATGTCCTTGGATACTTGATTTAGGTATCTTTGATGATATTTCTAGTAGTAACTCTTCATTCTCATTTGTCTCTTTTCCAAACGTTCACCTTGGTATTATGTAGCTAATGGATCCAAAGTTGCATCTCATGGAATTGGTCAAGTTCCTTGATCATTTAGTGTTGTCTTGTACATTCTACATTGTCCTCACAATTTAGTCTCTCTGATAACGCACTCTTTAAATTGTTGTCTTCTAAGTCTAATTCAATCCTACAAAACTGGTTTGAAAGGTGAAGTTTGTACTCACTTATATACCAATGAATACCAATGAATGACGCAAAGATCTCTTCCCATACTCCCCAAAGTGTGTCATGATTCAAGTCCTCCTTCGACAACTTCTCATGTCATGGATCCTTCTTCATCAACTCCTACACATGACTCTACATTAGATTGGCTTATTGCTCTTAGGAAATGTATTCAACCTACTTGTAATTCATGTCCTATTTTTAATTGAGTTATCATTGTGAGTTTCCATCATATCCTTTTTTTTGTTTTTTCTTTTGCCTGCTTGATTATCCTAAATTACAACAAGTCTTGATTGATGAAATGCAAACTCTTACAAGCAATGAGGTGAAAGCTTATTCCTTTTCCATCTGGAGAGAAGACAGCTTGTTGCACATGACTGTATGCTATTAATGTTAGGTCTAGTGGTGAAGTTGATTACTTAAAGCTCCATTGGTGGCCAAAGGATATACAAAAACTTATGAGTTGGCTATACTGTTTTTTTTTTCCTGTATGTGGTTGTGATGTAACGAATCTGAAGTGTTTGTGTATTTGGTGGTGTTTCAGGTGGCACGAACAGGGCGCATTGCTCTAGTCCGTGAGTCAGGTGTGGACTCTAAGTACTTGCGTGGATATTCCTATCCTTTATAAGTTCTTCACCTCCCACCGCCACTTTCTTTCATATTCGCTACAAACAAAATTTTGGATGCTACTTGTTTCAACTTAAATTGCTTATATTACTGTCATACTATGCACCTATGTTTCCAAATATTTTAAATCTTATACTCGATTTAATATGTACAAATATACTTTAAAGTAAAATTGCTGTAATTAGGTGTTAAGAGATATTTATGGATTATTTAAGTTAGCCTTGTTAATTTCTATTTTTTCAAAATATAATATTAAAAATATCAAATAAAATAATATTTTCTTCTAAACTTGTTTCATTTTTCACATTTAAAAGAAAAAAATATAAAATAGCTAACTTATCTCTGTAATAAATAAAGGAATCAGTATAGTTTTATAACATTGAGTGATTTTACGTTCATAATATGATCGATGTTTGCTTTTCATTTTTTAGTTGTCGATGTTTTAATATAAAATAAGTAAAATATATACTAAATCAACGAATAATAATTTAAAGGTTTCTGATAGATATATTATCTTTGTTTTTTTTATATTTATATTTTATTTTTATCTTTTATCTTTAGTTAGATTGTTATTATTTGTATTTTGGGCTTAGTTCATATTTTTTCTATTATAAATAGAGGAACTTAGGTGTATATTTAACATAAAGGAAGATTAATCTCATATATATAATTTGGGTGTTGCTTCTTCCATCACCACCCCTTCTCCTTCTACCTCCTCATAAAATTTTTAATGACAAAATTAACCTTTAATTTTTAACTATTTTACTTTTAACATTAAATCATTCCTCACTCTCACTTCTCCCCTCAAGGAAAGTGTCGATGTCATCACAAGCTCTAGATCTTCATCGTTGACAACCAGCGCCTTGCTGGCACCTGCGGGCCTCGCCGCCACTCAGGACGAGCTTTGCAACAGCTGTCGAACGTGACGACGAAGTGCACGAGATCCTTGCCGCACGCGTCCTTCACTTCGACGAAGAACTCGTTGGAGAAGAAACTTTTGTGAATAGCTTGATTGGAAACCTAATTGATATTGCTGGGTCATCTACTCTGGTTAGGAAAGGTTTGGAAATTGATAGCTTAGCTTTGAACTGGGAAGAGAAATATTTTACCTTTGTACTGATATAAAAGTCAGTGATGGTATATGTAATAAATGTATGCATACTACAAAGTAAAGAAAACAAACCTGAGGGTAGACCAACAAAGATCTGCACGCACCAGTCACTACCAACGAACCACCACCGAACCCACCGCCACACCACCGCACCACGAACAACACGAACAGCTACACAATCGCACCACAACACCGCACCACCACGAATGGAGAGCAAGGGAGAGTTGGGGTGAGAAGAAACAGATCTCACCAAAAGAGAGAAGAAAGTGAGACGGAGGTGGGAAGAAACAGATCTCAAAGAGAGAAAGAGTGAGAGAAAGTTGGGGGGTGGGGTTGCGCGAGAGTGAAAGTGAGGAATGATTTAAGGTTAAAAGTAAAATGGTTAAAAATTAAAGGATAATTTTATCATTTAAAAATTTTGTGGGGAGGTGGAGGGAGCAACACCCATATAATTTTCATTATATTCAACATGGTATCTAGAACCTAAGGTTCTTTTGAGGAAAAAGTTTCTGGTGCCTCTATCGGCGGTGGCGCCATCTACTGTTGTTGGCGGTGCCGTTGTTAATCGCTATTGTCTACCGATGCCACTATCGAAGTTTTAGTTTTGATCGACGATCACATGGTTTTGATCGTCTTGGTCAGGCGACCATCATGTCATCAACGACGCCTTCATCAGAGCTCCTACACGCTCTTAGTGTCTTTTCAAGTTGTGGACCTGCTCCCTTTGTCCGTCATGCATGGTGACATGTCTAGTAGAAATAGCGTCGAGGTCACTTGTTTTCCTTTTTCAAGTTCATCATCGTACATCTTGTCAGGCAACTATTCAGAGCATCGAGGTTGCTTTTTTCCTTTTTCAAGTGTCTTGATTGGAGAATTTTGGATTTTTTATGGTTTCTCTCTCTTGTTCATCCATGGTTTCTTTTACTGGTGTCTCTTATAACCTCATTTTTTTGTCACCATTGCGTTTGATTCGTCCATATATGTTTTTTTTCCTATGGAAAAGATTATTCTGGTTAGTTTATTTATAGTCATGATGGCTCTCCAACAATTATTTCTTTATCCACAGGTGACATTCCTCAACGACCATTTGCAAGAAGAGATTTACATGGAGCAACCTCCCAAATTTGTTGCTCAAGGAGAGTCTATTGGGTTAGTATTTCGTCTTCTATGTCGTCTTACAAATCATTAGCAATTTGGTGTCACTCGAGTGTAAAAATAGATATTTTCACTAAGTCTTTATGGATTATATTAGTAACAAATTTAATACATACTATTTGTATGCACCAGCTTGAGGGGGAGTATTAAGATATATTATCTTTATAAAAGAAAAACCCAAAATACAAATATAACAAACTAACTAAAGATAAAGATAAAAGATAAAAGATAAAGGTAAAAGGTAAAAGGTAAAAGGTAAAAGGTAAAAGGTAAAAGGTAAAAGGTAAAAGGTAAAAGGTAAAAGGTAAAAGGTAAAAGGTAAAAGGTAAAAAATAAAGATAAAGATAAAGATAAAGATAAAGATAAAAACAAAAGATAAAAGATAAAAATAAAAGATAAATATAAAAAAAAGATAATATATTTAACCGTTTAAAAACTTACATCGACGTAGTTTAAAAGTAAGGGTGTTACTCCGTCCACCGGTGGAGGGAGCAACACCCTAAAA